GATTTTTTTTTTTTTGTCTGTTGAGAGACAGCTTCTTATTAAATTAGTATGCACTTGCTGAAAATGACTCTTACTATTTGATCTTAAAACTAGGGGCCCAGTGCATGAATTCATGTACCTTGAAAAGAACTGTGGGCCGTGAGGTGGGCACAGGGACAGGTCTTGGACCATTCTCCACACCCCTGCTCTGCCTCTCCCACCACAGCCCCCAGTCTCCTCTGCCGGCAGCCCCGCTCCCGCCTCTGCCACTCGCACCTGCTGATGGTGCAGAGCGATTGGGGCTGGCACCAGCAGCGGTATGAGCGGGGCCATCACCAGGGCCAGCGCTGGCAGCAAGTGTGAGCAGTGGCTGCCAGCCCCTATCACCCTCAGGAGCAGGGGGAGTTGAAGAAGTCTTGAGGGGTGATCGGGGCGGCATCCACCACTTGCACCTGCTGATGGCACAAAGCGATCAGGGCCGGTGCCAGGCGCAGGCAGTGGGTGCGAGCAGCAGCTCTGGCCCCGGCAGTGGGTGCAAGTGGGGCTGGTGCTAGGAGCAGGTGCGAGTGCCCGGCAGGACCACAGTGTGCAGGAGTAAAGAATTTTCAGTAACCACCAGAGACTCGCCCCGATGATAGCAACCAGCGCCCTGCTTTGGTCTGGTGCCCCCGCTTACCTGCTCCACCGTCCCGCCGCAGCCAACACCTGCCATGTTTTGTGCTCTGCCGCCAACACCTGCCATGTTCTGTGCGCGCCCCCTGGTGGTCAGCACAAGTCATAGCGAGTGGTGTGGTTGTTCCGTTGCTTGGCCTATTTGCATATTGGGGTTTTATATATATAGTAGAGGCCCGGTGCACAAAAATTTGTGCACTGGGGGGTGGGGGCGGCGGTCCCTTAGCACGGCCTGTGCCCACTCACAGTCTGGGACCCCTCAGACTGGGGGATGGCCACCTGCTGGCTTAGGCCTGCTCCCTGGGGGATTGGGCCTAAGCTGGCAAACAAACATCCCTCTGGCAGCCGGACAGCCCTAGGGGGATGTCCACTTGCCAGCGGGGAGCAGACCTAAGCTGCAGTCAGACATCCTTAGCGCTGCTGAGGAGGCAGGAGAGGCTCCCACCACCACCGCTGTACTGGCAGCCATCAGCCTGGCTTGTGGCTGAGCAGAGCTCCCCCATGTGGGAGCCCACTGACCACCAGAGGGCAGCTCCTGCATTGAGCATCTGCCACCTGGTGGTCAGTGTGTGTCATAGTAACCAGTCATTCCTAGTTTTCTACTGTTAGGGTCAGTTTGCATATTACTCTTTTACTATATAGGATAGAGGCCTGGTGCATGGGTGGGGGCCGGCTGGTTTGCCCTGAAGGATGTCCTGGATCAGGGTTGGGGTCCCGCTTGGGTGCCTGGCCAGCCTGGGTGAGGTGCTGATGGCTGTTTGCAGGCTGGCCACACCCCCTTCAGGGTAGGGGTCCCCACTGGGGTGCCTGGCCAGTCTGGGTGAGGGGTTGAGGGCCGTTTTCAGGCTGGCCGGCAACTTAACTCCTAGGCTCTCCTTTTTTTCTTTTTATTCTGGGATTTATTTACCTTCTATAATTGAAACTTTGTTGCTGTCACTGGAGCTGAGAGCTGGCCTGCTAGCAGGTATCGGGTTTGTTTAGCGTCTGTAATTGAAAGTTTGTTGCTTTTGGAGCTCAGAGCCGGGCCGCGGCAGGCGGGGAACCTTGGCTTCCTCCATCACTGGAGCAAGCAAGCCTCCTGCTTGCTTGAGCTGCGTGGCTGCTGGCCGCCATCTTAGTTGGCAGTTAATTTGCATATTGCCCTAATTAGCCAATGGGAAGCATAGCGAAGGTATGGTCAATTACCCGTTTGTCTTTTATTAGATAGGATAGATTAGTTTTACACAACTGATTTATTTTACTCTGCTGTAGCAAATCATAATTGCCATTCTTTGTAAAATTTGTGACATACCTTCTCCTTTTAATTCTGCCTAATTAGTGTGCTTTCATTTGAAAGTTAAAATTTTTTTTAAAAAAATATATTTTATTGATTTTTTACAGAGAGGAAGGGAGAGGGATAGAGAGCCAGAAACATCAATGAGAGAGAAACATTGATCAGCCGCCTCCTGCACGCCCCCCACTGGGGATGTGCCGGCAACCAAGGTACATGCCCTTGACCGGAATCCAACCCGGGACCCTTGAGTCCAGAAGCCGATGCTCTATCCACTGAGCCAAACCGGTTCTGGCGAAAGTTAAAATTTTTTCATTCTCACTAGTAGGCTAGAAAAATAATGTTAAAGTTAAAAATATATTTCAATTTTACTACCATTTGTGATTTACATAAATATCACTGTAACTCATGCTGTCTTCATAAAATATTCAAATAAAGACATTACAGTGCTGCATTTTTGCAAAGAAAAATAACTTCAACTGAATCATTCTGTTGACACAAACTACATTGGTGCTCTGCTTATGTATACTATACTAGAAATGACATGCCCCCATCATGGGTGCTGCAATACATCTGTGTGATATAATAAAAGTGAAATATAGTTTAACCAAGACCATAAAATTGTCGTTAATTAAAAAATATTTTATACTGCTTCAGCTCTTAAGTAAAATTTTATATTAATTACAACTTTGAAAAATTAAAAGTCAGCCCTGGCCAATTTGGTTCACTTGGTTGGGCATAGTCCTATGCACCAAAAGGTTGATGGTTCCATCCCCCGTAGGGGGCATATAAGAGGCAGCCATTTGATGTTTCACTATCACATCAATGTTTCTCTTCCTCTCCCTTCCTCTCTCTCTAAAAATCAACTTAAAAATCCTTAAAAAGCCCTAACTGGTTTGGCATAGAGCGTCTTCCTGCGGACTGAAAGGTCCCAGGTTCGATTCCGGTCAAGGGCATGTACCTTGGTTGAGGGCACATCCCCAGTAGGGGGTGTGCAGGAGGCAGCTGATCAATGTTTCTTTCTCATCAATGTTTCTAACTATCTCTCTCCATTCCTCTCTGTAAAAAATCAATAAAATATATATTAAAAAAATCCTTAAAAAAATAAAATTCAGTTCCTCAGTTGCATGAGACATATTAGCACAGCTCTAGAATCTATCGCAACTTATTCATTTTAATGATAAAAGTTCAGAGGGATGAAACAACTAGACCCAATTAAACAAGATTAGTTGGAAAAGACAAGGCCCAAAATAAGTATATTTTAATATATGAAAATGTTACTTTAACAAATGTTAAGTAATTTTATATCCCGGCTGAATGCATGAATTAAATAATTACTTTAATAAGAAAAAAATCTGTTATTTAATTTGAAACAGTTTGTTTCTTTACACAAAGCAACCACTGTTGCTTTGTGTAAATAAAGCAATAGGTTACACTATTTATGGAGGTTAAGAGGTTTACTTTTCAATTAGAGAGTAGAATATCCTGTCAATACATGAAAGGTGATGTAAATTTCCTTTTAGACTTCATTTCCCAGATGAACACTAGCATTTGGAGTATTTTTGTTTTGAATAGAGTACTGTTTTTTCTGAAATACATGCATAAATATATGCAAACATAAAATGAAAATATAAGGAGGAATTAGAGTAACAGTGCAATTTCCTTCTTCAGTGAATGCTGACTGTTCATGGAAGAACCAAGTGCCTTAAGCCCAGATTTAGACAGTAGACTTGACCCTCTTAACATCTTTGCTGAGAGGAACAAAGAATTAAAACTTTTCTCTTACTTAAATTTTTTACATATTTATCATAAAACTGATAATTACTCTCCTGCCATTACTGGTATTTGACCAAAGAGAAACAATCTAGGATGTAAAAGGTGGCTTTTGTTATTTATGGAAATGTTAGGGTTTGACTCTGGGAACTTGGACAGTAGATTAGAGATACTTGATTGACAGCATAGGTAACGTTAATGGGAGGAGGGGGGTGTAAATTATTACATATATAATATTTTAAAGTTTTCAGAAGTATTCATTTAAAATTTTATTCATGAGAATAAAAAACACAAACCATGCTTTTGTATAAAATTTTATTTTTAGTTACTTTGCCCCATTCTCTCTTCATTTTTTAAAATAGATTTGCTGTTTCAGATATGTAAGAAATGGTTTTTGGATTCTGCTAGAGATGACCTAATTTTTGTTAATTCCTATGCATTCAATGGCAGTGTTATTGTCATTATTCCTCAGTAGTTAGGATTAGTGCTTTTATACAAAGCTGATATTCAAAAGAATATATTGGTACTAACTCATAAATTGTTTTTGTTAAAATTGGTCTTATCTCGGGAAAAAATTGAATGCTAATGTACAAGTTAAAGTTTATTTATGTGTATTCCTTTTGTTATTTGGTTATTGACGTTCTGAAGCATGTGAACACACACACAAAGAGAATCATTTTTAAAGAAAACCTTAAATATCTTTCTTCAAAGCAGTTATCAGTTTTCCAAAAGAGGTGGCCACTGTTTTATACTTTTGTTTTCTAGCATCTCAGAATGAAAAGATTCATTCTTCTCAACCATCTTAATACAATTTTTTTAATTAAATTATGTTTAAAACATATAGCTTTATTTTTAGTGTTTTTATTCAACTATCCCTACAGGTTAGTTACCTTTTCCCTACTTTTCATTTAAATCTCTCCCTACCCCCAATTTCTCCATTAATTTGAGTTGGGAAGTATCATTTTAAAGCTTTATAAATAGAATTGTTGCTTTTTATTTCATTTTTCACATATTATGCACCCTAAAAAGAATATAATACAAGTAGCAGTTTATTTCATTTTTGAAGGGGGAATCGAGCTTTTGAATAAAAATGTGAAATAAACTAGTGTTCATTGCCTACGTGGCTTTTTAAAAAGGCTCATAAAAAACATTCCACTGTGGATTCCAAGTCCTCTTTAAACTTGCCACCAACAGAACTGCCTGCAGAGCCATGTGATCATCTTGGCAGCAGCCAGACCTTTTAGTGATTTCATTACTGTGGTTTCCTCAAGCTCTTTACACACATTGATGAATATTTTTCTTGCAGTTATCGCTGTGATGATTTTGTGGTTAATGACACCAAGCTGGGACTGGTACAGAAAGTCAGAGAACACTTGCAGAACTTGGAAAAGTAAGTAAATAAGCAGTGGGGGAAAAAAGGATTGATTGGGGTCGAGAGGTCTTTCCGAATTTTTGAGTGGGGTTTTTGTTTATGAGTTCCATAACTTCATCATGCTTTTAGTGTAATTGAAATGTTAATAAAATAAGCTTTGGGTTTGGCTATCTTAAACTGTGTCCATAGTTAATGGTCATATCTCAGCATTTATTTCATTTAATATTTGTCATAAATATATCCAAGGGTCCCAGGGCCTGTTTTTCAGTTATAACCCACCGACTTGTAGGCTACACGGTTTATTTGCAAGGGGAATTTTGGGGGTGCAAGGAAAGGTCAGAAGACAATATGAAATCTTTATACAGTTACCTTTGATATTAGAAAATCCTTATCAAATGTATTATGGGGTCTTCTTAGAAGCACTAAAGTTTATGTGTTCTTTTTAAGGGAAATTAGGTTTAATTATATTGTCTACTTTGAATCTTTGTGATAGCATAAGATCCTAATTTCTTTTTTTCCTTTTTGTTTTTCCTTTTTGTTTCCACTGAAAAGTACAAGAAGCTGTAAAATGTTTTATTATGTCACCATAAAAAAATTAAAGTACTTATATGAATAGAATTTTCTTGCTGTTGCCAAATAGGCCATTCAGATAAAACTCACTGGGCCCAAAATTCAAGCAGTTAAATAAAAATCCAAATAGCAGTGCCTTTGAAGTTGCAATGGATAGAAGCATAGTCCTGGAATGACTGCTGACTCAACTGTAATCTGTGTAAATCATCCTGAGTCATTAGGTGTCATCAAATTTATTGTCACAGTTGATATATATAAAAGGTATTATGAGAATACTAGAGGCCTGGTGCATGAAATTCTTGTACTCGGGGGGAGGGGGGTGTCCCTCAGCCCTGCCTGCACCATCTTGCAGTCCAGGAGCCCTTGGGGAATGACTGACTGCCAGCTTAGGCCCGCTCTCTGCAGCAGTTGGACATCCTTAGCACTGCTGCAGAGGTGGGAGAGACTCCCACCATCGCTGCTGCGCTTGCCAGCCATGAGCCCGGCTTGTGGCTGAGCAGAGCTCCCCCTGTGGGAGCGCACTGACCACCACGGGGCAGCTCCTGTGTTGGGCGTCTGCCCCCCTGTGGGAGCGCACTGACCACCAGGGGGCAGCTCCTGTGTTGGGCGTCTGCCCCCTGGTGGTCAGTGTGCATCATAATGACTGGTTGTTCCGCCATTGGGCCGAAACCGGCTCTCTGACATTCCTCGAGGTGTCCAAGATTGCAAGAGGGTGCAGGCCAGGCTGAGGGACCCCACTGTGGATGATTGGGCCCGGGGAGGAATGCAGGAGGTTGGCCAGCCAGGGGAGGGACCATGGGAGAGCTCCAGGGTGTGTCTGGCCCATCTCACTCAGTCCTGATCAGCTAGACCCCAGCAGCAAGCTAACCTCCTGGTCGGAGCGTCTGCCCCCTGGTGGTCAGTGCATGTCATAGCAAGAGGTTGAGCAGCCTTAGCATATCATTAGGATATTACGCTTTGATTAGTTGAATGGCCGACCAGACACTTAGCATATTAGGTTTTTATTATATAGGATGCCAAAAGCAAACTTAAATGTAAAGCTAATAGAGTATTTTAAAACTGTATACTGAGAGGAAATAACTAAGTTCTTCAAGTGAAACACTATATAGCTTTGGTTAACCAAAATCTGTATGCATCTCTTTGACTAAATAGATTATAAAGCTGATAAGGGCAGGATTTATTTCTTTAAAATCTAAAGCATTTTGGGTTTAAGTACTTTTTGGCTTGTCATCTTTTTTTGGCTTTTTTCTTTTTCAAAGCACTTCTTCCCTTAATTGGAACAAAGCAGTCAGACCCCTATCTAGGATTAGACAAACAGATCCAAAATATTTAATTTTGTCTGAAATAGTCACAATTAACTGTGAAGTAGGAGATTCCTGTGGTAATTGAAGCAATATCACTTTTTGGTGTGGTGAAGTCATTGTAAAGATCTTACTATGTTGGTGCTTTGTTATAGAAGTGGGTAGCTAGCAGAATATTTTTTCTCTAAGGCTACCATCTAATCCATAATAAATTAATCAGAACTAAGTCAAAGGGAAAAGAGGAGAACACTCAGTAACCTGCATGTATTTATGCAGTTATCAATCTTTTATTTCCATGACCATTTCATCATGTAAAAGATGTTACAGACCACCTTGTCTACACTTCTACTTGGCCCACTGAAACATCTACCTTGTAATCAGTGTTTTTCCTGTGTTGAAAAACATTACCTACGTTCATTTTTATGTTTTCAAACATAGGCTTTAGTTTATAATGGAAGCCTCAATTTAAAAAATATAATTACATTTATATTTTACTTAACTTGAGACTTTTCTGCATATTCTCTAGAGCAGCACTATGCACTAGAACTTTCTGTAATGTGCAGTGTCCAGTATGATAGCCACTGGTCACATGTGGCTATTGAGCACCAGAAAAGTGGCTAGTGTGACTAAAGAACTGAATTTTAAATATTACTTAATTTTAATTTATTTAAATATATGTTGCCACATGTAGCAAGTGGCTACCATAGTAGACAGTGTGGATCTAGAGGATTTTGCTATTTTGAGACTTACTGATGGTAAATTTTAATAACTTCTGTTTTTAAAAACTAAATGTTTTATGTAGGTTAAAAATAAAGTTAACTTTAGGCATTGTCACTAAGTAGTATATGTGCTATGCTTGTGATTCAACTTCTTTACTTACAGAATTTTTGAAGGAATAACTTAACATAGTAGTCTATGGAACTGGTCTGTTCTTGCCTTACAGCCACCAATACACTGAGAGGGACATGCCGTTCTGACGATACGTTTCCTATGAGTGTGTTTAGATTTGAAGCAACTATTACTAGATCTGGAAAGAGAAATAATTTTGTATTTCCTATGGATAAGTTTAGTATTTTTAGGAGAGGGGAAAGAATTGGCAGACTTGAAAGTCTGTGTTGTTTAATGATAATTTTACCTCCTGATACATAATAATTTTAAAGTGACCCTTTGAAGATAGGACTTACTCTCTGATAAATTTAAGCAAAATATATCTTTTTAAAAAATATGTTTTTATTGATTTTTAGAGAGAGAGGAAGGAAAAGGAATACAGAGATAAAAACATCAGTGAGACATCAATCAGCTGCCTCCTACACACCCCCCTACTGGGGATTGAGCCTGCAACCCAGACATGTGCCCTGACTGGGAATCAAATTGGCAACCTCTTGGTTCATGTATCAATGTTTAACCACTGAGTCACATGGGCTGAGATAAAGTATTTCTTTCATCAAGAGAAATTTAAACAATTTTAATTCAGAATTTCTGTGCTAATTAGTATTTGTTTTAGAATATCCTTTCTAGCATAGCTGGATCAAGTCAATTTGTATATGTCTATACTTTTTTATCATTTCACAAACTCAGATTATGTCATAGCCTAATATGACAAATGAATAAAACATGATTGATTCCTTTATCAAAATTATAAAAGAAGTAGCACAGTATTTGAGACTTATGATAACTCTTAAAATAATCTTGTCAGACCAGGGTTTTCTTTTTGTTATGAGGAATGACTGTTCTCATTTTTTGAAGCTTCACCTAGGCAGTTAGAGTGGTGGTGGCAAGGGATTGTCTCACAGGCTTTATCTACCTGGCCAGCTTTTCTTGGAAGCACCTGGTGGTGGCTTCTTCTGGCTCATCTTGCTGAAGGAGCGTAGGGCTTTTCCAGGGAGTGGAGCTCCTCAGTTACTTCAGTACTTTGTGGGCCACAGTGGACCTAATAGGTCATTTCCTCGCCTGACTAAGCAGCAAGGGAAGCTCCCTAGACACTAAGAACAGCCAAGTTTATTCTCTAAAACCTTCTGTGAAGTCTGTGTACATTAATGTCTTTTTGATTGTTTGTTTGTTTGTGTTTCAATAGCTCAGCTTTCACAGCTGACAGGCATAGGAAAAGAAAACTTTTGGAAAACTCATCACTAAACAGCAAGTTACTAAAAGTAAATGTAAGTAATTAAAATTTATTCAAATATAAGAATTGGTTGAGATATAGTCTGCTTTATTACATTAATGTTGGTCCTTATACACTTTTATAAGTATACTAGAGGCCCGGTGCACAAAATTCGTGCATGGGGTGGGGGTCCCCTCAGCCCAGCCTGTACCCTCTCCAAACCTGGACTGCTGGCTCCTAATTGCTCACCTGCCTGCCTGCCTGGTCGCCCCTAACTGCCCCCCGCCCCCACCGGCCTAGTTGCCCCTCACTGCCCCTCCCTCCGCCAACCTAATCGC